ATATAATTTTGGGTTGTTTTTGAAGTTTTGTGAGTGGTTTGAGTGAAAATTTTGAAAAATAGTTATTTGGAGTTTTTTAAAATGCATCTTCAAGTGAAAATTGGAAATTTTATGAACAAACGCTGATTTTGGAAAAAAAGTGAAAAATTTTTGGAAAAAAGAATTTTTTATTTTATGTCTAAACGGGCTCGTAGTAATCTGGAAAATAAAAATAATTACAACCTGCTACAACCACGAACACTAGCCAGATAGAAAAACGGAAATTAGCACTGCTAGCGCATCTCTGTAATCCTAGCTCCCTCACACCTACCAATATGTATAAAATTTAAATAAGTTATACATGCTATATGTAATGGCCTTATAAATGACTTGATTATATAAATATTTGTTACACTACCGTCGATTCATAGAGCTTAAACTCTAATGGAGTAATGATTTAAAAACCTTCAAGATTTAAACTATAAAAACAAACAAGAAGGCTACGTTTAGTAAAAGTCAAAATGCCGAGATGCTTGCCATTTTAGTTGACATTGGATAATGGATAACAGCTGAGTCAGTCAAAATTCTACAGCTGGTTAGACAGAAATTTAGTATAGCAATTGGCCTAAATGTTGCCGGAGATGAGTTGAGAAAAGAATAAAAGAGTTCAATATTCCAAGTTGCTATAGTCATATACGGTAAAATAATAGCTATAAAGACTAGTACTACGATTTAGTGTAATCTCACTGAAAACTTGCTCGCTCTCTGTTAATTCTATCGTACACCCTTTATTGATTACTTATCTAACAAAGTTAAAAGGAAAATGGGAAGAGAGAAACGAACAGGTGCAACATCTGAAGGTAAACAACATTTCAGCCATCCCCACAACTTGAAAATTGTGAATCCAACAGAATCTGAAACTCTCACTTGCAATGCTTCTGAAAAGCCAAATAATAATAACCAGCCAAATTTCTATGGCTGCAATAGCTGGAGCTCCTCTTCGGTTCTCCTTACAATGATAAGGATATCACATATGTTTGTGATATTTGCAATGTCATAATGAATAGGGACAGTTGGTTGTACTATTGCGCTGGTTGTGATTTTGCATCGCACTAACAGTGTGCAACTACTCCTGAAGTTGGCATTTTCCCGAGACAGCAACGTTCAAATCCAAATCCAAATGCAAACGTCCCTTTTGAACTACCCTCAACACTCCTACAACATATTCTCAATATATATATCCCCACTCACACTACAAACCCTTACTCTTTTGCCTGGACTCTAGCTTCCGGCGGAACCTTCAACACAAAATAAGTCGTTTCATTGGATATGAAAACTCCGACTCCCGCAAAAAATCAAACACTTCCTCTGGCTAATTAGCCATAACCGCCTCCCTACTGCCAGTCATTATCACCACATAGGTTTCCTCCCTAATGACACTTGCGCCATCTGCCTCACCCACCCTGAAACAACGATTTATTTATTCCTTCAGTGTCTAGCTGCTGTCCATCTTTGATTACAGTTATCCATGCTACCAACAACTACAGAACTTCTGCACAACTTTGGCTCTCCAATCTTTTTGCTTCATCAACTTCTTTTCCAAACTCACGTGCCGAATCCCTTAAATATCCCTAACGACATCCTTATTCCCTTTGCTCTTTGGCACATTTGGTTGGCCCGTAATAGTAAGCTTTTTCGAAACCATCAC